AGAATTAATTAATTTTAAGATAATTGAACTTTTAAGCTCGAGTTCACATGCGTCAGCTCATAATAACCAAGTTATATGTGTTGTAGGCTTCATGCATCCACGTACAAGTGCTTTTCACTAGCTTTTAGGGGGGGGGGGGGGAGGGAACTTGTCATCTACTCATCCTGCATTTATGTTCTATCTTCTGTGAAATTGCCCAAATCTAAAGAATTGGAGCGCACAAGGAGAATGCATTTGAGAAACAAAAATACTTTGTTTTCTCCCATAGCTCATGTTGCATGTGGAAGGACATTTAATTTGTTCATCTTCTCATATCTTATCCTTCTTAGGCTTTCTTGGTAGGTGAATTCTGGTGAGACATTGAACTAGGGAACACATTCAATGTTCACCGGCCCTAAAATAATATGAATTGTCCAAATTTAATTTTTTTATTTTTTAAGCTAAAAAATTATAAAATTTAATAAATCTATTAATTACCAATGTGTAGAGTTCATTTTTAATCATATCAATTCAAATTTAATTTTATTTTTATAATTTTTATAAATTAATTATATATATATTTACTCTAAATTGTTTTGAATTTAACAGTATAATAAGTTAAAAACTTTGAATTTGAATAGGATAGATTTATAAAAAATAAAAAAAATATTATTAAATTTTAATTTTACATATTGGTGATTAATAAATTTATTCAAAATTTTATAATTTTTTTTTAAAAATACAATAAAAAATTACATAAATCCAAACAATTCATATTATTTCAAGAATGATGAGCACCAAACATGCTCTCCATTGAACCACCCTTTATGGTACAAACCAGAAGTTTTCTTTTTATTATGTATGCTTCTGGTCTGCTTTTCACGGGGCCACCAATTTTTTTCAACATCATGGTTTGCAAATGTCCCGCCTATATGCGTACCACTATCAAAAGGATTTTAGGTTTATTTGGATAACCTTTAAAATGTGCTTCTTATTTTTAATTCAACAAATAGTTAAACTTTTTAAATAGATTTTTGTCAAATATAAACTAAAAATTAAACACACATTTTATTTCCTTTAGATCTCATGAAGCAGACTTTGCAACCTATCGTTCAGGATATCCAAGTTCTTACCTCACATTTCTGCTAACATTTCTTCATTATCACAAATGAAGAAATTTTTTTCTTTACAAGCAGCTTTTCTCCTTGGTTTCTATGTAATTGATTGAGTTTATGACATTTTCCTTTAGTATGAATATATATATATATATATATATATTTGACCTTTCCTTAAAAAAGAAAAAAAATGATTTTTTTTTCACAATTACCCATTATTTATAGATTGAGCTTTGATAGAACTACATTGACGATAAAACTCTCCTAATAATTATTTAATATAGTTGCATACAAAGACTCAAATTTAAGATCACTAATTAAACTAGTACAATGCTTTACCCATTGAGCTAGGTTTTCATTGATCAACTTGTTTGAGTATTTTAATAAAAGTTAAAAACATTTTACAAAGAAGTTGAAAGCTGCTTTTTTTAAAAAAAGGAAAATGACAATCAAAAGCCATGCAAAAAAATCAATGTGAAATAATAATTCGAAAGTTTTATTTTTATGAAACCTAGTTATAAAAGATCTTTAATATTTTTTTTATAGGTCTTTATTTCTCATTGTCCCCCTTTTAAAAGGCTTGTTTGGATTCCTTTTTTTTTAATAGACAGCAAAAAAAACAAAAACAAAAACAAAACTTCACGTGAAGGGTCCTCAGGGAGGCTAATGTGGAGACCAAGCACAGCATCCATGGCCTTCTTGGTCATGGCGTACCAGTCTGCTTCGCTGCTCAGTACCCAAGGAATACACCTCACGTTCGTAGTCCATTCACACTGGAGGGAGGGACCGTCTTTCCATAATCTCACTCTTTCATTTCACACTGGATATGGTTTCATTAAAAAATGGTCGTACCAGATTTGACCGTGCTTGTGCTGTCACTCGCAGTAGTGCCTTTTAATCCGGTCTCTAACAAGTCCCAGATTTGCTTGATTCCATTTCAAAATTGAGAACCCGACCTAGCTGGATCAATCTGGGGCAATAAATCATCTCCACATTTGTACTTAGTCTGAATTACCCTAACCCATAAGGATTCTCTTTGATGAATCATCTTGTAGGCCTTCTTTATAATGAACGCCTGATTCTGCTCCATCAAGCTCTTCACCCCCAATTCACCTTGCTTCTTGTCTCGGTACACTTGATCCCAAGCAACAAGATGCACATTCTTCTTCTTGCTAGTAGAGCCCCAAAGGCAATCCTGAGAATCCTTCTCTATCTCGTCACATGCGGAAGCCGGGTGATGACTTCATGTGTTTTTAGGAGATTTTAGGTTTAATTTGAAATCATTTAAATAATTTTTAAAAAAATGAGACTATTATTTTAAAAAAAATGAAAGAGAAGTATTTGAACATAAAAAGGGAGAATTGGTAGTGTTTTGTTGAAATAAATGAATTGCTTGAGTTAAAATTACATTATAATGTTATATTGTATGTAGGGTGATCCAATAAAAAGTTAAAGTGCTATGTGTAAGTAAAAATTAAAAAAGAAGAAAAGGTAAGATTTATGCTACAGCATATTTAAATTATGCTACAGCATAATGCAAAATAACAATAACAGTATTAGTGACAAGGTGGTTTACATCGCAACGTAACTCAATTATGCCGTGCGTAAGCATCAAGTAATGAAAGACATAGTTTTCATGAAAAGCTAATATTTTTAAGGCTCTAAATGTTTTTGCTCGTCATTCTTTATCTTTGCTCATCACCAATAATTACAAACTAACCAATGAAGAGATAAAAATGCCATGGATGAAGTGGAGAAATTTGAATTTCATGGGAGCTTAGTGATTTCATCCAAAATTACTTCGATTAAGCTTTTATTCTCTTTTTCCTCTTTATTTTGATGTATTTTCTATTTAGTTTTGTAAACTTATGTGCAGTTAAATCTCTTTAGATCTACAGGAACTATAAACCTATTGATGAATTAAACTCATTTTTACCCATTAATTAAGTTTATTGTTGATTTTAGTTGCTTAATCTTGTACTTTAATATCTATTTGATACTTGGCCAACATTAAATATGATTTTGGATGCTAAGATTTTTTTTAAGAAAAGGAAATCTCATTTAGACTATTGGATTGAATAATATAGGATTAGATTTTATCTATTTATAATTAGGATAGACATATACCTAATTACCCTAGATAATTATTGTGGAGTGTTCTTGGTTTGAGTTGTCTCTTGAATAATTATGTTAGAAATAACATAATTAAATTAAGAGAGATTTATTAGTAAATTAAAAAATACTAATAGCTATTAAAACTTTTGATTAAAAAAATTGACTTTGAAATTAATTAATTGAGTTAAAATGAAATTTAAGAAGTTAATAGAGGATTAATGACTCTAAATTACTTTTTACTCAAGTGATTGTTGAATTTAAATATTTCGTGGTTTTTTTATTAAATTTAATTTTAATTTTAGTTAATTAATAAATTATAATTACCTTTGCTTAACGTAACAAAAATAAAAACTTCATTGCTTAATTATTATTTTACTTGATTTGTTGTGAGATCAATTTTAACATATTAATATATTTTATTTTAATCAGTATCCTCACGGGGATACATTTTTGTGTGCCTCAACGGTAGTAGAGCAGTCTGCATAGGATATATAGGGATAGTAGACCCCACCGAATTGACCAAAGTATTCCTCCCAGCCAGCGTCAGATTGCACGCTTTCCAGTTTTTTGAAGTCCTTTTAGCTGACGGCTTTTGAAATAAACTCAATTCAACCAAATCAACGTCGTCCCAATAAGAAGAAAACTTCTAATTGGTGGCATACAAGTTGTATCAAAATTATAAATTTTTTGTAATTGATAAAGTATTTTGTTTTTAAAGAATATTAAGACCTGCTTTGATCTTTATGAGTTTTAAAAACTCAGTTCATCTATTTTTTATGAGAAAAAGTAAAAAACTTCTTCATGCTTCTACATCAATTTTTTTTCGTCAAAGCATGCCGTATTTGACCAATTCATTTAGTTTTTACTATTGTGAAAGACTGTGGATTATTTAGAATAATGATAACTAATATAAATACGCCAAGAAGCCAGCTTGTTTTAAAAACACGAAATTAGGGTTTTTTTTTTTTACCAGTAAGAATTTAGGGTTCGATTTATATAATTATCTCTGTGTTTAGATGCTTATTTTAAGAATTAATAAATAAAAATAAAGAAAAAAGTTAATTAATAAAAAATTTTTTTTATTAAAAATTCAATTTGGAAAGAAAAATCTAATATTTTTAACGTGTATAAAATAAATAGTTGTGCTTTGTATTTGTAATTAGAATATTTTTTACATTTTAAATTTTTAATTATATTAAATTAACTCATAGTTGCCAAGAAAAATAAATTAAGGGATAGTAAAAAATTTTATTCTTTAAATTTACCCAAATAATATATTTATTTTTAAACTTTAATTTTTATCAATTAAATTTTTAAAATTTCTTAACTATATTTAATCAATAATTATAATTTAAAAAAATAATTATTTTTTATATTTAAAAATATAAGGTATTTTTTAAAAGATTAAATGTTAATAAATGTAAGATATTTTTAATATTTTAATATATAATTATTATTTTTTTAAATTATTTTAAATAAATAAATTATTTTATATTTATTTTAAAACAAAATATTTTATTAAATAAAGATAAATATAAAAAGATAATATTAATTAAAAAATATATAATTATTTTATTGTAGTAAAATTGTAAGATTCAATTAAAAATATTTTATATATTTTTTAATAAAAAGAATTGTGTAAGGTTTAAGATTAAATTTGAAAATTAAAATATTAAATTTAAAATTAAAGTAAATTATTATTTTAAAAATTAAATTACAACAAAGACATGTAAGCATAAGAAAGTGACTCTCCACTCTGTGGGCTCTGCGACTTGGCCATTTGCTTCACAGTACTATTAATTATTAATTTCTCTGCCTCGAGCCGCTCGCTCTTCTCTCTCGCGAGGTGGTGACCCCCTTCGAGCTCCGACTCAGCTCTCGCCATCTCTACTCCGAAGCGAGAGAAAGAAAATGGGGTTCACTTCCTTTATGGGTCGTGTCCTCTTTGCCTCTGTCTTCATCCTCTCGGCCTGGCAGATGTAAGTCCCCTTTCCAGATCTGTTTACTGTTCTCAATTCTAGTCCGATTGGTACCGACGACTTCGTTAATCAGCATTTTTTGTTTCATTTTAATCAATCTGGATTATCTTTTTTGTTTGCTTTGTTTCATTTATTGTACTGATTTGATTTGTTCGTGGGTGTCATGTATGACCTGATGTCTTCTTCGCAAAAAGTTGAAGTATGTTTGTCGAGTTTCAAAAAGTCAACTTGAAAGCCATTGGCAACAGCTTCGATTTCGTTGTGAAGTTCGATGTATTTTCTTCTAGAGTTGGTTCTGGTGGTTGATTGTGTTGATGATATATTAATATTTTTGTTTGGCTTTTTTTTCACAAATCTGTAACCATGTGGGGGTTGTGAAGTGACCTTGATGGAAATCTTCACAGGGGTTTTCACCGATACTTACAAGAATTCTATGATTTTTTACAGTAACGAATGGTGTGAACCTCTGAAGAGCTTGACTTGGTTGTTCTCCCACAGTTAGATGTAACTTTAAATTTTGGCCTTGACTTTTTTTTTTTTTTTTAAATTGACTGTAAATTGTGAAGATACTGGAGCAGTGGAAGAGCTCAACTCAACTTCTCGAGTGGTCACACTCTTATAGAAGTAGGGTTTTACGATGATTTTCATTTTTGTTGATTGCTTCAATTCTATGAGGATATTGAGGTTTCATCGTTCACCACAAATTTGATATCAAGTTGAATGCGGTCACGTGTTGAAAGATCTTATTTTCATACTTTTTTTTGGGTCTATAAACGGCTGCTGAGTAGTTAATATATAGGTTAGAGAATTAACCTTTTTTTGTTGTTGTCATTTCCTTCTTGCAATCTATTGGAAACGGAATATGGGACATTACATCATGTTATCTTATTTATATATCTATGAATTATGAATGTATGTATAAAATGTATTTTTTTCTACCTCAACCTGGGAATATAGCTAGGTAGTTAAATTTCATAAATAAACCCAAGTTCGCTTGTCAGTTTTGTAAAGTAATGATCTTGTTTGTTAGTTTATTTTTGTTTAACATGAGTTATATGCAAATTTCTACCTGACGTATGCTAAAGAAAGCTTAGCTCCTATAATTAGATGAATTGTTCTCTTGAGCTTACAAATGAAGATTTGAGAGTGTGATGATGTTATCATAGCAGTATGCAGTATTTGCATTGATATAGCCTGCACGTTCCTAGGTTTTATGAATTCGATGCCATTGGTGAACCTTTTGCAAACGACTTGATGGCACTCTCTCTTTTTTCGAGGGTAGTGCTGTGTCTTAGGTTTGAGAAGGAACCTAGATAAGTTTGGGAGCTCAAGCAGTAAAGCAAAACGCATCTGTGGCCTTCTCTGCTTTATTAGGTTTTGTTATTCTGGAATCTTGATTTGCTTTTATTTCCTCGGGGTGGTCTTTTAGCAGCCTTTTCTGCAATTTGAAGTCATTCCCCAACCACCCAAAAAAAAAAAAAAAAAAAATCACTACTTAATGTTGGATTACTCATTTAAAGTTTATGTAGGTGTAAATTGACCGACCCACACCATGTATCTTCATGAACAAAATATCAGGCCCTAAATGTTGGATAACTTGGTTAATTCAGGTTTGCTAATGCTTTCACTTTGTGTAGCAGTCTGTCACCACTTTAGCTGATTTTGATTGCTTACAAATGAAGATGTTTGAGTATAATGGTATTATCATAGCAATATGCAGTATTTTGCATTGACATAGCCTGTATGTTTCTAGGTTTAATGAATTTGATGCCAGTGGTGGACCTTTTGCGAAGGAGTTGATTCCCAAGCTCACTGTTATGAGAAAAAATTTGTCCTCCAAATTGGGGGTTGAGGTTCCAAATATTGATGTAAGGCCTTGTTTTTATCTATTATCATTTGTAGCAATTGGATTTCATTCTTTGTAACATCAGTTTCCTTTCTAATTGAGGTGCCATGTACAGGTTCAGTATTTTGTTACTACTATCATTGTACTGAAGGGGCTTGGAGGAATCCTATTTGTGTTTGGCAGTGCATTTGGATCTTTTCTACTTGTAAAACCTCGCTTTCTTGTATTAGAACACAAATTAGTTGCTATTAGTTAAATTTTTTAGACATGCCATTGTTTTGGTCTCGAAGTGTTGTAATGAAGATTGAAAAAGGTTTTTGTTTGCTTTGCAGCTTCTGCATCAGGCGCTCACTGTTCCACTTCTGTATGATTTCTACAACTATAAACCTAATGGCCCTGAATACAGTCTTCTGCTGAATGATTTTGTTCAGGTTAGTGCAAACTTGTGGTTGTTATTATTCGAGCATGATGGTGTCATACAATTATCCCACCTAGTGGGACAAAGCTTCTTGTGCAAACTTGTGTGATTCCCTGTGTTTTGCAGGTGATAATTTCTGAAGTTTGAATGACATAATATGTTTTGGGTTTGTTTCCTGTTGCAGAACACAGCACTTTTCGGGGCACTGCTGTTCTTTATAGGGATGAAGAACTCAATTCTCAAGAGGCAACTGAAGAAGAAAGCCCCAAAAACAAAGACAACTTAGAGCAGAGGTGCATTGATGTGTTCTCGAAGAACAGTTTTTTGACAGCCTGCTGAGTTTCAGCATCGGATTTGTTTAAGCTTTCTTTATATGTTTTGCCTCTTCAGTTTGGATTAGATACTTTGACTTGTTTTGATGATAATTTTATTTATATAAACAGAGTGGGCATACAACGTGTTTCTGGATATATATATATATATGCTTTGGCTTCCACGTATCATTTTATTCTAACATTAAGCTGAGCTGAGATTTGGCATTAAGCAAGGCTTCTAGCCATTGCTGCTTCTACTTCCTCCTCCACCAAATAAGATGATTGTTATTGATCACATAAATGGTTTAAGGCACAACTATCTTCTTAAAAAAAGGGGCGGGGGCGGGGGGGTCTACAACCATGTTATATGTGCAATGATTGAGAGCACCCAACTTTACACCCACCTTATGTAGGGGATACTAATGGCTTGTTTGATATTTTTTCTGTTTTTATGTTCTTGAAACAATTTTGGGAAGTAATATTTTAGCACAACTTTTGAAAGCCAAAAAAAAAAAAATCTTTGAATCATTATTCACAAAAACATATTTAAAGTGATGAAATAAAGAGTGAAAAATTATTTTGTTATATTAACGTGATTGTATTTAATGAAAACGCATTTTTTGCTTTTTGATCTGATTTTACAGAATGAAAAATGACAAAATATTAAAAAGATGATATTATTTTTTTTAGTTTTTTAGAATAATTTTTAACTTCTTTTGTTTTTTAGAGTAAAAAATGGAAAACATATTTTCAAACAAGATTTTTTTTTATCTTTTCAAGACAAAAAATCATCCCAAAAGTAGGTAATCAAACAAGTAAATGTTGAAAGATACTATTCCAACTTCCTACTTTTTGACCTCGGCAAGATTTCAACTCAACAAAGCCTGAACAGCCTCCCAACGTCCTGCAAGTAAACTTTGAAATTTGCATACTGTTCTGCCTTTTCAAAATAAAATTTGGCTTGTTTTAGGTGAATAAAAACTGAAAATTTTGTTCAGAATCTGTCATTTGTTCAATGCCAAGGCGAATATTTTCCAATAAGATCCAAAAGGTTTCTTTTGTCAATGAAATGGAAGTGACGAAAAACCATTACCCATTCTTCGATTTTTAATCCACACGCCTACCTTATACGAAGATAGGTTCAAAGAGCGAAAAAGAAACTTCATGGAAAAGTGAAATTTTCATCAGTAGAAGTATTGTAATGGTGTTCGCCTTGATTATTTTTCCGTTTCTATGGCTGTGGCTTAAAGAATGAAGTTAAAGTCATAGGGGCTTGCTTCCCCAATAGCTATCAATCTCGAAAGCAATTTAGTTGTAAAACAAACAAGAAACACAGATAAGAATATCAAAGAGTTGCGATGGACGAGAGCATGATTCAGTGAAACAAGTGAGTTAGTTGTGAGAACAATCACAACTCAAAGATGACTTCAAAGTTCAAATACAAACACGCACGAGAGAGAGAGAGAAGAGAGAGAGAGAGAGAGAGGTTGCAATGCACAGGTAGTGACAAGATTTTGTTTTACATACGGAGGGGAAAAAGAGTCCCACATCGGGGAAGGAGAAGCAAGGAGCGAGTAGAGGGGGTATAAGTACGAGCGATGGGGCGGGGAAGAGACTTAAAAAGGGTCGGTTGGCTAAATATGCCACGCTCGTCCTCGTTTGGCGAGTGCTGTATGGCTATCAAGACATATGGCCGACATAATTTGTGGAACCTTCATAGGGTTGGCTCGCGTGGCCGACCCTCCGACCTCCAGTTTCCCAACTCTCGTTCTAGATTTTAGTTTGTTAGTCATTGTTATAATGTTTATTTTTCTGTTTAATTTTTTTAAAAAAAGAGTTAGTTTTGTTAATAAAAAAATAATAAACAAAGAAAAATCATGAACGCTAATAGTCGAGCCAAAAAAACACTTAAAAAATTCTACAAAATCACTAAAACACCAAAAGAAAAAACCAAAAAAAAAAAAAAACCAGTTTAACAAATGTCCAACAAACCATTTGATTCCATCTTTTTTTTTAATATCACCTGAAAGAAAATTTGTAGCTTTATTCGCATCTTTGTAAACAAGAAACAAACAATAATTCTTCATAGAAGGCTATAAACAACAAATATCATTGATAATACCAGCACTTTTCTACTCACGAGTAACAATCACACCCTTGATAACAACCTTATATAAAACCTAACAATCCCTTTCAACACATATTTCAAATCCCTAAATTTTTTAGCAAGTGGCAAAGTCTTTTTCAAAGTTAAAACTTCAATAATCAAAGTGAAGAATCCATCACCTTCTCATTTATACTTGTCATGAAATACCCAATTCATTCCTTCCAACAATCCCAATACCACTATAGCCTTTTCCTCATCAAAAGCTCCATCATAATTCAATTTAATCATGCCTTTATTAGGAAAAGTCAAGAACTTAACTTTCTTGCTTTACTAGCCTTAAACACATTTAAAAATATGGATAGCATTAATTTTACACATAGATTTGTCAACCAAAAAATTTACCTCAATAGGATCAACATTTTTACCTTCAAAAAACAAGCCTACACAAATTTTTCAAATATACCAAAAGTAAGAGCTATTTGCAAACCATATAATAACACAATCCTCAATTTTGCTTACCAAAAATTTCTTAATTTTCATTCAAGAACGACTACCAAACTAGATAGCTTTAGCCCAATGACATAATAAAACCATATGTTCCCTAGTTTCCTCTTCATTACCACAAACTTTACACACAAGATTATTTCAGCATTTCTTTTTCCATAAAGCATCACAAGTAGGCAAAGCACTTGTCACTAATCTCCATAAAAAATGCTTAATGTTAGGTATACACTTAAGCTGCCAAATCTCACCAGATTTCATTATTAATTCTACTAGTGGAGCTAGGATCTTTTGCAACTACAACTCTTTTCTCCATTGCATACTTATAACCCCAACTTTATAGTGTGATATACCATTTTTAACACCATCCCAAACAACTTTATCCTCACAACTAAACAAATGAAAATGCATACTCAAAATCTTACATTTTCCGCCTCAATAATCAAAGCATAAATACATTGCAAATTCCAACCATTACCATCCATCAAATCTCATACGAGTCCATTCATTTCATCCTCAATAGAAAAATTGACCTATAACTTTCCATTTTCTAAGCCCCATACCCACCTATTCCTCCAAACTTTACATCTTACCCATTTTCAACTTTTTACCCCAAGTTTTTCAGTTAAAAAATCTCTCTCAACAGATACTCAACCAAGATGCAAAAGAACCTTTTTGACTTCTAAAAAGGATGAATGTGAAAATACAAGCCTTTTAAAATATTAGCCCAGAGATAATTCTCACAATTCAACAATCTCTAAACAGATTTTGCCAATAAAATGGTGTTAAAATTTTCAAAACATTTAAAACCTAAGCCACCTTCATCCTTAGAAATCGTCAATAATGCCCAAGATTTCCGGTGAATCCTCCTCGCATCACTCTTTGGACCCCATCAAAATCTAGCAACAATTTGATATAATTCCACTCATGACTTTTTAGGAAACTTAAAGCTGAACATAGGGAAAATAGGAATGGGGTTAGCAATTGATTTAATTAATTCCTCCCGTCTCCTTTCAGATAACAACAATTTCTTTCGCCCTCAATTCTTTCAATCAATCTTTTTCTTACAAAAGAATAGCTTGACTTTTTACCCCAAGTTTTTCAGTTAAAAAATCTCTCTCAACAGATGGACTCAACCAAGATGCAAAAGAACCTTTTTTGACTTCTAAAAAGGATGAATTGTGAAAATACAAGCCTTTTAAAATATTAGCCCAGAGATAATTCTCACAATTCAACAATCTCTAAACAGATTTGGCCAATAAAATGGTGTTAAAATTTTCAAAACATTTAAAACCTAAGCCACCTTCATCCTTAGAAATCGTCAACAATGCCCAAGATTTCCGGTGAATCCTCCTCGCATCACTCTTTGGACCCCATCAAAATCTAGCAACAATTTGATATAATTCCACTCATGACTTTTTAGGAAACTTAAAGCTGAACATAGGGAAAATAGGAATGGGTTTAGCAATTGATTTAATTAATTCCTCCCGTCTCCTTTCAGATAACAACAATTTCTTTCACCCTTCAATTCTTTCAATCAATCTTTTTCTTACAAAAGAATAGCTTGTGTTTAGATCTACCCTACAAAATAGGCAGACCTAAATATTTTCTAGATTCATTATGATTGTTATTGTTTGCTTTTTTTAATTTTTTTATTTATTTTATTTTATTATGATATATATATATAAAAGAGAGAGAGAGAGAGAATGTGTGTTAATTATTGTTTAAAAATTAAGTTTGGATTTTACTTAACTTAATTATCATATTTCAACTTAGATTGTAGGGAAAATTAGTTTGTGGGGTCCACGTAGTTTTACTAAATTATCCTTTTTTTAAGGAAAATTAAATATTTTTTTAAATTTTAATTCAATTATAACTTAAACTTAATCATTTAAATTTGTAATTTATTTTTTTAAATTTGATTCTTACAATCCAATCTTTATAATTTTAACAATTTAAAATATTAATATTTATATTTGTAAAATAAAATTATAAATATTAAAATTGTAGTAAATTTTAGGACTAATATTTAATTCATCAAGCTTTTTAGTCTTTGCAAAAACTATTTAATTTTTTATAATTTTATTTTTTAGTTAAAGTATACTTTCGGTCATATATCTTTATATAAAATTTTAATTTAATCACTTAATTTTATAAATTATATTTTTAATTTTCTAACCCTAATATTATTAATTTTAATTATAATTTTTTTGAATCAAACATTATTATTATTAAAAAATTAAACTTAATATGTTAAATTTTAAAAATATTTTGTTAATACTTAAAAGTTCAATGTAAAAACTTGTGACTTAACTATATTGTTAAGATTAAAGAATTAAAAAATATTTTATAAAGTTAAGAAATTAAAATGAAATCTTATATGAAATTGAAGGACTAGACATATACTTTAACCTAATTTTTAAAATATATAAACTAATATTTTAAATAATTAAAATTATAGCAACTGAGCAACAGGAGTCAAAGTTCAAGAACTTATTACAATGAGTTAAAATTACAAGAATTAAGTTATAACAAATTAAAATTAAGGATTAAATTATAACCTAATTAAAATTATATAAATCAAATTATTATTTTTTCTTCTATTTCCCTTTTTATTCGATCTTTGTTTTTTACAAAATTAGATCCCCTAGTCATTCCGTTTGTGAATCTTCCAGACACCGTTGGTTTGTGTTGAAATGAGATGATCTGGCGCTGAATAGACTTGATTGAACAGGCAAAAATTGCCACAATTAATATATATTTTTTAATTGATATATAAAATAATTATTATTGATATATAAAGAGTTTGTAATTAAAAATTTAAAAATTTATAAAATATTTATTATTAATATTTAATAATATATCATTAATAAATATTATAAATCAATTATAATATAAAATATAATAAATATTATATTTATCAAGTTTAATCTTATAATATAGACTATATTTACAAAAGCCTCAATATAAAATTTTTAAATTTCATTTTATAAAGAAAAATTTCAATGAATTTAATTTTTAAAAAAATTTACATATTTAATCAATTAAATAATAATAAATACAAAAGTTCAACTGAAAATGGAGAAAAAAAAAATACCTGAATTTTTTATATATATATATATATTCAAAACACAAAAAAGTATACAACTATAATACCTCATACGGGCAACGGCAGGTTGTGGGGGAACATATCATTGGATTAATTAATCATTAATCACTAATTAAAATGGTAATCACATTCAGATCTTCGATACGATGACCTTATGAGTCAATCCCAGAACCTCACACATCTCTGGATACAAGCTCTTCCTTATCTCTGCATACACTTCACCGTTCCATTTCCTCTGTGCTAACTCTTCCCCTAGGCGCAGAAGCCTCCATCACGCTCTCTGCGCTATCGTGCGCCGAATTCACAATCCCCATCTTCATAGCCTCCGCCGCTTTCACCTTCACACCTCTCACAACAATTCGCGCATGGCGGCCGATGACCGGATCTTCGATCTCATCCCAACGGAGAAGTAATCAGGAAGCGTCGTCCCCATGTCGATCTCTGGCATGTACAGAACGCCTTTGTCGCCCCTCATAAGAATATAGTCGTAACTGATCGCGAGCATGAGACCGGCGCCGGCTGCATGGCCGGGGAGTGCAGCGATTGTGGGCATCGGGAGGGAGATCAGCGCCACGATGACCGGCTTGAAGGAATCGACCATATGGTGGAGCCGGTCCGGGCACCGGAAGGAGAGCCAGCGGATTGGGCCCAGGTGAGATCGAAACCGTTGGAGAAGAATCTGCCGTGGGCAGTGGTGATGAGGACGGAGCCAGGGGTGGCCTGAGAGCGGATTTGGGAGAGGGTGGAGAGGAGGGAGGTGATGAGGGTGGGATTGAGGCGGTGCTCGTCGTTGCCGGTGAGGGTGAGAACGAAGAGAGAACCTCGCTTCTCTAGAGTACACATCTTGGTGTGGGTTGAAGATAAAAAACTGCAGAGCTCTGAATCTGAATTTCAAATATCAAATCCTTTTTATATGTTTTGAGTTTTGATCACATGACCATAAAAACAAGAGGAGGTGAGATTAGGCATTTATTATTTGATTGGGAAAAGTTCATATGGTCATTATGTGAGCTTTTATTTTACCTGAATTTACTTATTAATTATTCAAAAAAGATACATTATCATTTTATAAATAATTATTTATTAAATTATAAATAATATTTATTAAAAAATTTAATATGTACTACCTTTTATAAATATTATTATTAAATATTTATTTATTAAAGGCTTATGTTCACTTATTATTTTATTAAAAGTACGTTGAGTGACGCACAAAGTCAAATTGCCTTGCTAATGTATGAGAATGATGAGTGCTTTGATGGAGGAAAGGAAGGGTAAAACACACATAGCTCACTGTTATAAAATAAGCTTATAGAAATATTTTTTTTGACTTTAGAGAACGCTTTTAAAGTACTCCTGTATCGAGCGCTCCAAAATTTACAGGAGCGCTTTTTTAAAAGCGCTCCCATAAGAGAGCTCCGATTTATAACAGCACACGTCATGTATGAGAGTGTTTTTTGCAGGAGCTCTTCCGTATACTGACAATTTATCAGAACGCTCTTTTAAAGAGCGCTCCCGTAAGTTACTTTACAGGAACGCTCCTCAAATGAGTTCTCTCGTGTATCATATTTATTTTTTTTTAAATCAAATTTTTTAAATTTTTCTTTTTACAAATCTTTAACAATGACAAATCATAATATAAAAATTAATTTAAAAATAATATCAACATAAAAATTTAGATACAAGAAAAGAATTTAAAACTGATATAACAATTTCAATTTTTAACTAACCTAGTTTAATTTTTAACAAGCCTAACAAATAAAACTATTGTTATTTTTTTAACATTGAAATCTAACTTTCTATCTCAAACAGTCAATAATATATTCTGACCATTCTTCAAACTATCTTCTATTTGCTCCAATAAAATACTACACAAGATATGAAAGCAATATATAAGTAATTAACATTATATTAACTTAATTTCAAAGCTTTTAACTTACATTTTTAGGAATGATCACCTTTGTTGTGTGATTACTTCTCTCATAAACTTCATAACATAGTATCCACATTCTCAACCTTGTAATTGTGTAGGTACCTATAAAATAATAAAGAGTTATTATCAAAATATGGTAGAAATAAATCTAACTTAATTTAAAATACTTCAGTGATGAAGTTATATATATGGATACAAGTATTTGCTGTCGAAAATCCGACAGAGTCTCCCCTATAACTTGGAAGTTCCAGAATTTTTTAAAAATTCTACATCAATCCAGAACAACATATTTAGAATAACAAACATAAAATATCAATCAAACAATCATTTAGATATGTACCAACTTGTTTTATTAAAAAAAATAATACAAACCTTTATTCTTTTTCATTGAATAAAACTCAACAGAATTAGGTCTTTCGGTGTTTGGAGGGAGACCTTTACCTCCTCGATACGTGCTATAGCCCTATTATATAATGATTAAGTATATCAAGTAAAAATTAATTGTTATAATAAACATATATAAAGAATATAGAACTAAAATTTACTGATTAAATAATATCCTCATAGATTTAATATTCTTAAAGTCACTATCTCTTAATGAATCAAGATAATAAATCACAGGGATGAATGAATTGATACAAACAAGCACCCAATGTTGCCTGAAAAAATAAAATATTTCATTAACTAAAATATCAACTAAAGTTAAAAAAACAATAATAACAATTTACCCTGGATTGTGAGGAGCTAAAAATAACATGTTTCTTTTGTCTTTGACTTTGAATGCATCAGTTAATCTTTTGAGAATGGGTACTCAACACTATAGGTACTAGTGTTCTGCGGGCTAATAAATGAAAATTTTGTTATCAATGAGCCCGGCACCACAAAAGTATGACATAAGTACCTAAAATGAAAGCAAATAATAGAATTATTCACAACTAAAATTAAATAAATACCATAATAAGTAATAAAATTGAGAAAGTACCTGATGTATAAATTAATTTGTGTGTTTGGAGCCAATCCTTAGTCAGAATCTCGTTTATATTTCAGCTGCTAATTTTTCGCTAATTATTTCACCATAAATCTCCTTTTCAAATTCTACTTCACGGATCTCATTTTTAAATGTTGTCTGCATAATCACTTCAAGTGCATTTTGATGAGGATATTTCAACTGAGAAGATTCTGTGCTGGTCTTTTCCTGCCTTAGTCACAGAGGTAGATCCTTTCGACGGCTTTTCTTTCGCTTTGATAGCTTCTTTACAACTTCTTTAAATTTGGAGGACTACAAGATGTAAAATGGATTGGTAAGGCTGCAAGAAACATGAAGGATTTTAAAGAACCATCAATTATTATACCTATAACTTAATGAGCTTTTTTTTATTTGAACTGGCAACTTAGCATCATTTTCTATTGGAATAGTTATAGTCACCTTTAAGTGATCAGCAGGCAACGGTTTGAAATGTATAGTAACACTATTGTCATTATACATAAATGCGAGTGCCATAACACGACAATGTGGTGATTCTAACCATAATTGACATTGAGACTCACCCTAAAAATTAAAAATTAATATTTTTAAAAAATGTGAAACATAATTGTGAATAAAGAAAAGATAATAGAAAGAAAAATTATAACCTTAAGAAAGTCTTCTTTAGTATGGAAGGAGCAACTATCTTTATCACTGGAGCTACCTTATGACACATTTACAACTCCAATCATTTGCTCAAATCTCTTTTCCATTTGAGCTTGAAATTTTTTTTCCATTCTCGCCTCCATTTCTGCCATCCTTGCATTAAAATCATCTTTAGTAAAAATTTTGGACCGACGTCCAAAGTAAGTGCCTTAAAAAATGCCAAATCCGACTCCTCTACACGACCAGAGACCTCTAGAGCTCCTAATGCCCTACCAAGGACATCCACATACTCCCCCACATCATCTTGTGATATTGATTGTGATAATGCTTCCTATTGAACAAATTGTAAACTAATTATTAAGTAAATAATGTAAATAAAGTAATACACTAAAATATTAATACTCACACAATCCTCTCAGAATTTTGAGTACGTTCATCAGGTAATTTGCCTTCTTTATCTTCACGACAGTCTTCCAAACAAGAGCTCGAGAATTGAAGCTTGGTAACTCACTTCTTTCCTCTATTCAAAGAAGATATTAGAATAATTAAAAAACATTTGCTTATATATATATATATTATATATAAAGTAATATCAACAGACGATATTAATTGAAACTTACCAACCATGTTCAATATCTAGATAGTTCTTTCGTCCTGCTCTATATTGAAAAGGAGTACTGCGGCTCTAAGAGATTGACCTGGTTGATCTGTTGAAATTCAGGCTGTTGGCGCATTTTAATAAATTCATCCCAATGCTCTTGCTGGATCTCTGGATACATTTTAGGAGGATGAGGATTGAATTCTTCATTTGTGGAGCATCACTACTGTTCTCAGGTGGGGCAGCCATATACCTGAAAGGAAAAAAGTAAATTTTTAGCAACAAAAAAAAATTAACAACCAAAAATAAATTTTTAACAATTAAAAGGAAATTTAAATAAAGAACTTACAAGTGTTAAAATAGAAGGCATTATCTCCAGTTGAAACATCAAATGTCCATGATGTTCCCATGAAAGGGTCATCCTCAACATTAAAATCTTCATCCTCTTTATTTGTTAAAAGAACAATCGACCAATTTTTATGCGCTGGATCTGACACATAGAACACTTGTCGAGCTTGTGATGCTAAAATGAATGGTTCATCTTTATGAGCCACCTTATTAAGATCTACTTGAATAAAACCTAACTCATCAATTCGAAAGCCGTTTTTATTGTCAACCCACGTGCAACAAAAACAGGTTCGCAAAACTTGATATAATCTAATTCCCAAATGTGCTCTATAATCCTAAAATATGACATCATTGCATAGATTGGGTTCTTGTCTTTAAAACTAGAGACATGCATTGATTGAGCTTTAAGCGTTACACCACTATTTTGTATAGTGCTCCGAGCATCTTGGCTTTTCGTATAAAATGTAAAGTCATTAATTGCATAACCTGTATAAGAAAATACTTCAAATCCGGGACCCCTAGTTAAAACTTCAACCTTTCTTATGGGTGAGACTCTTCAGAAATACGAGCTCTAAACCAATATATAAAGTGCCGGTTGTGATATGTTGCTAGCCATGTTTCATTTTTACCTTTATTCTGACTCTTAACTATTGCCTTGTGTTCGTTGATATATGGTTGAACTTCCTCAGTATTGTGTGAAACATACAAGTGAACTTGCTCCTATTGTGTCTTGTCTATGTTAATGAGTTTCTTCTTAATGATTCCACCTTGTTCACCTATGGTGTCTTTTGTGTACTTTGGCAACCCAATGGCATCCACATTAGAGAGATATCTATGCATAATTCAATTGCTTCTTCCATGATGTACCTCTCAATAATACACCCCTCGGGTTGACTTCAATTTTTTACATATCTTTTTAATACTTTCAAGTAACGCTCTACTGGGTACATTCATCTCAAATAAGCGGGGCCATACAATTTTATCTCTCTAACTAAGTGAAATGATAAATGAACCATGATGTTAAAGAACGAAGGCGGAAAATACATTTTCAACTCACTTAAAATCTTAGCTATTTTATGTTCTAGCTTTAGCAATTTTTTGGATCAATCACCTTGCTACAAATTGCCTTAAAGAAGAAACAAAATCTAGTAATCGTGGCTCGCATCTTCTTCGGCAAAATGGATCGTGTACCAACCGGCAATAAATTTTTCATGATGATATGATAATCATGAGTCTTAAGACCTACTAGTTTGAGGTCTTTCATGGATACGAGGCTATTTACATTTAAAGAATATCCTTTTAGCACTTTAACTTCATGCAAGAATTCACAAAAAGGTAATTTTTCCTTTCTAGACAAAGTGTGAGCTGCTGGAGGTAAAAAAGTGTGTTTTCCCTTCCTCTCTGGTGCCAACTCTTCTCTTAACCCCATACTAATCAAAT